TACGCAGAAGTTGTTGTGTAATTTGAGTCATGTGCATAGCTGCTGACGGATAGTAGCTTGTATGTCAAGTTCGCAAACAAGTTGCTAGAGGTACCTTCCGAGAGCTAGTAGCGCGCAGTACTGCGTACATTCACGGTAATCCAGACAAGGATTTAGTAGACTTTGAAGGAGGGCTATGCCACGCGGCCACAAAAATTACAAATTCTCAGTAAACAAGATTCTGAACAGCAAAACCGGAACGTTTTTCAAACGCATAGTTTTGATAATTTTGCATATCAGTTCTCGATGGATTTTTGGGTCCTCGTCGACCGCATTCAACGCTGTCGACATAAATTTTCATTGAAGCTTTCGAAACCGGAAGCGGATGAACCTGAACAATAAAAACACACTTTGAGAAAACAACCTGACCACAAAAAATAAGCGCCAGTGAGTAAATAAGAAAACGTACCATAAAAGCATTATCTGAAGTGAAAAATGACGTCGGTTTTAAACGGCCGTAATCGGAGATAGCTGAAGTAGACATATCGCCCAGTCTTTTAGGTTGATTCGTTAACAGTCCCTGCTAATACAAACAATGATATTATGATTCCGTTAAGCAACTATCAGGGAAAAGAAATAGCCGAAAATGTTAAGAGAAACTAATAAGCAAGAAAGGTAAGCATGTGAAACAAACGTAGATGTAAAAATTCTGGAAGAATACAAATTTTGATGTTAATAAATATTTTTAAAAAAAACTGTAAAAAATTCACTTTGGCTTGAACTGTGCAGTCACACATTTCAGCGTATTTGACATATTTTAACATATCGCTCTCGGAAGGTTCTTCAATGTCAAATCCATAAACTTCTTTTGTTGTTGAAATACCTGTATGCATTCCACTGTTATCTGAAATCTCAATGAGACTATTTTGTGCCAAAAAAAAACGAAAACCATAGACGTATTATAAACATCACGCTTTAAAATGCACCCATACATCTCATGTAAGCCAACAAAGTTCCCAAATAAGCTGGTAGTATTCAACAAAGTTCCCAAATAAGCTCTTAGTATACGGGGATGGTGAATGGCTTCGTATCGACTAGCGACTTCCTGCCATTTTATTAGCCGCTCATACTGGCAGTATTCAACGAAATGGTTTTCTTTGGATATTAAGAGCTAAGCACTGCGATAAAGTAACTCAGTACGAAAGTATAACGGTTCTAATAAAAGGGAAGGAAGTTCGCTACTCCTATAATTTTTGAACGAAATTTAGCAGCCCTTTTCACCTCAACTGGCTTCGCCCACCAAAGACATCATCTACCACAATCACTTTTTCAAATTCAATCTGAGACTTTTACTGGCCAGAAAGAAAAAGTAGATCAATGAGATTATCTAACCGAAATCCTTTGTATTTAGCGACATTTTGCGACCCACAGCAGGCGTCACCACATGCACTTTCCCAAACTAAAAATGATTTAAATTTGTCAGCAATAAACCAAGAAGTTAGCAATTCAAAAAAATTCATATATCGAAAATAATCCGAGAAACGGACAGCACCAGCGACCGAGACAAACATGTATTTCCTGTACAGTTCTGTTCGTCAGGAACAAAGCTACATACGTGCTTCAAGTACAAATTTGGTTCCTACCAACTCGAAGTTAAAGCTTGAGATTTAATCAAATTAAAATGATAATTACAAAATTCAAGCCATCAGTGAAGCAAAATGTATTTTCTTTGAATTTTACCGTTTCGTTTTGTCTATTTACGCAAAATAAAAATGTGATACCCACACAAACACATACATACACACTACAATGGTTTCGAAATATACAGCTACGCAAATGCAGAAAAAATGCCTAGAAACAGGGATTAATAATGTTGAGAATGAAATCTCACATTGGCTTCACAGATCTATGTTCAAAACATGCTCTTTATGATTCACAAGAAGTGATGTTATGCACACAGAAAAGATTTATACCGAGCTGAAACCACATTCATAATGCGCTTCAGTGTCCGATTTGAGCAGCGGCTCATCCTCTTCGTCCTCATCATCCGACAAAACTGTTTTTTCTTGCTTTACAACATTACCCTTTTCAATAGATTCATGCTGAAATAAGCCTTTCCTGTTAAAAATACACAATTTTCGCTAGAAAGGCTGTACTTGTCACATAATTACGTATGAGAAACATAGACGGCCCTAGGCTAACAGTCCGAAAGAAATTGCTGATTAAAAAATTCATTTTATGGTTGTGTCAACAGTGATGAAGTTTTTCTGCAGTGTTTCAAAAGCCTCCAAAATAAGTATGAAAAACACATGCCCGAAAGTCTGACATAATGACATGCAATGATAAAAAAGGAGCAACAATTGTACCTTCCACAACTTAGCGAAGCTGTAGCTCTGCGCAACACTTTGATTTACGCCGTCGACGGCTACTGATTTCTGTAAATCCTTTTCTTTTCGAATCAAATCCTCCAATTTGGTTAATTCCCATAAGCGATAATGCGTATAATAAAGATCTTCGTCAGAGAAGCGAAGGTGAACAGGAGCTGCTAAAAAGACAGGCATTAAAACAACAGTCTCTATGCACTAATGAACTCGATAGTGTTCGATGGCTCTTTCTAGTTTTACTCATTTTTTCTTCCACTATTTTGCAGATAGCTTGCTCGAAACACTGGCAACACAGACAGCTCAGGTGATGCCGACTACAAAATGTTACGCTTATCAATTTTCCTCTTTTTCTGTTTCATTCATTTTTATGTGCTTTTGCTGTGCTGCACTACAGCGATGCTATAGTGAGCCAAAAAGCACATCTTCGAGGGGTCTTCTGTGTGTGTGTTCAGAAGCGAGTGAATTTTGTTATCTACTTTCAACTCAGCAAAGAGGAAAGTGGGGAGGTTGAAATTTTTGGGTCACATTCCCACCCCATGTGTCACCCTCCTGTTTTCAAATCTTCGCTCATACATGACTAGATATAGTGTACGGGCCCGCGAGAAAATATGCAAATTTCTTTGGCGGAAAACAACTTCGTGGACCAGACAGGATAGAAAGCTGAAGATTTGCAGAGATATTCACGGTGCATGTATGAGCTAAAGATTTCAAATTCAGCTACTGCACGTTTATACCGTGCGCACGGCCACGTTAAAGTTCGCAGCTGGCACTGTACTAATCAAAAACCCAGGCTGGAACGCACCAGGCGGGCCGGTGCAATCACGCGTTTTTGCACTGTTTCGTTTTGGAGCAAGATCGCTAGGAACCACAATAGCTAGAATTTATGATACACTGTCCTTCGAAGTTCAGGAAGTTATCTGTACAGTTGTAGATGTCGGCTTCACTGACCCAACAAGTGGAAACTTGCTGGTGCACGAAAAAGACCCCACTAGAAGAACTGAACATGAAATCTTTTAGTGGCACATGAGTAGAGATCATTCCATCAAATTCCAGTCGTCTAGTTCTCATTCCCGAGTCAGCAAATTTCCCGCCACAATTTTCACGTGCTCATACGTGAGTTCCAGATCATTCTAAAGAGCTGAATTTGGAAACTCTTGGTCGTGCATGAGCAAGGGGCATTCCCATAAAGTTTCAGCTTTATAGCTCTAAGTTGTCAGTTTCCCGCCAAAATTTTTACGTGGCCGTACTTGAATCCCGAGCGGCTCCAAGCAGGTGAATTCAAAATCTTTGACCGTGCATAAATGTTGAACATTCCCCCAAGGTTTCAGATTCCTAGCTTTTTCCATTCCCGAATTAGCGATTTTTCCGTCAAAATTTTCACGTGGCCGCACATGAGACGTAGACGTGCGTAACAGTTGATATCATGTTTCTGAGGTCGCATTTGGCCAAGGAACACATTGGCAAATTTTCAGCATCAAAGCTTGTGTAATTGGCAAGTAGAAATACCCGGACAGACGAGCACACACACACACACACACAGATCGTCGCAGTGTGCGTTTTTGCTGCTGCAGGGCAAAAACATATAAATAGCTGGAAAAGAGTAGCTGAAATGTTGTCAAAATAATTGTTGTTCAGATAGAAAATATTACACCTAAATTGAGTTTCGATTTACATATGCGCCACGACTTAGGGCACTTCCAAGATATTTATAGCGAATTGGCTATTTCTCTTACCAGACAAGCTACTAAGCTAAAACTTTACAAGGATATTCTATACTCATGTGTGATCTTAATTCAGTTTGGAGGTGAAGTTTTCTGCATGTAGACATGAGAAATACTCAATTTTATCGAAAACTCAAAAGCGAGTGCATTTTACATGTTTCACAATCCTCTTTCTACTTCTTTCATATTTGCAGTTTTTTTCAATGAACGTGTTATGGAAAAACGACTTAAAAAAAACGGGTTTCATGGAAAAAGCTGGTAATCTTGCATGCTGGAGGCCCATATGTCCCCAAAATATAAAACCTTCATCCCTACCGACGCCCTTTCACCTTGCATGCGAGAAAAGGTCCAAACACAGCCAATAAACTATAGCACAGGAACCACCCCTACTCTTAGCGATGTTTAAGTTTAGCGCAAAAATGCATGATCACACCGGGAAGCCTGACGCGTAACTGCCTTAGTTCATTCTATTTTTATGGACTTTGTTTAGTAATCTCTAAACACATCATGAGTACTTCCCGGTTCTTCTCTGGTACGGCAAGATTGCGCATCGCTAATCATTAACGCATAAGGGCTCTATCAGAAATGGCCCCTCGAATTGGCGTTTTATTTTTTTCGTTGGAAGCCCAAAAGAGATTTCGCCAAAATCTACGACCAACAAAAGGAATAAACTTTAATTGGGTTTTCAAAAAAATTTGTCCAGTCTCAACTCTTATTTTTAGAAAAATCAGCAAAAATAACCCAGGCTGGAACGCACCAGGCGAGCCGGTGCGATCATGCGTTTTTGCATCAAACTTTGA